ACTATTTGAGGTGTTATTCTTGGAACTTTACTCATCAATGTATTCCAATCACGTTTCATCGGCTTCTCTTTCTCTTATTGGTAATGTAAAGATTTTGTGATATCACAACGAAAAGTTCAACAGGGATTGGGAGTGAAGAGGGAGTAGAATGCAGAGTTGAACAAGGAGTTGGATCTTCAGCTGAGAGTAAGGCTGGGAGTGAGAATGCTAGGGAAGCTGGGAGTTTTTTCGAGGAGTGAAGCAAGAGCCAGACAGGGAGTTGAGGGGCTGAGAAGGAACTAGAGTTTAGCTGAATGCTTGGCTGGGAGTTGTGTCAGGGAGTCGAGTTTGACTGGGAGTAAAGCTAAAGTTATGAGTTGGAGGTTTAGATAAGTTAGCTGATAGCTTAGCTGGGAGTGAATGTTATCCTTTTTCAAACATCCCTGTTATCCATACCTTGATTAAGTTCAACTTTTGAGGTTTACTTTTCTCAACCATTTTTCTCATTCCTTTACAGATTTATTCACAACTTTTTTTTTCTCTCTCTCATCTTCAACATCCTTTTTGCCACCCTTTACCATGTTTTTTCCTCTTCTTAGCTTCCACCCTCCTCTGTGCATGTATTACTCACTGAATATGTCAAAATATTTTCAAGAGACTTGAAGAGTCAAGAGAGTGTTCAGGGCAAAGAAAAAGTTTTCAAAGTGCTGAATTTTTCTTCTTATTTCTTCATTCTTTTTTTCTTGCTTTTTTATCACTTTTACTTTTCAACTTTTTTCCCCAACTCTTTGAGCCAACATTGAAATTTGTAAAGGAGATCTCAAGTTTATTCAAATCATCTTTTATCATCAACTTTTTTTTACTACAAATATGAAAGCTTTTGCTCTTTCTGTTTGCACCTTCACATTAAGCTAGTTATATCTAACCTCATCTGTATCAACAAAAATCTCAATATTTTTATTCAAATCAATGTGACCATCAAAATGTGACCTCAATATTGAGATGAACTTGAGCTTTGAGCAAAAAAATTATTCAAACAAAATTTTCTCTGTAACTTGATTCTTAAAACTAACTTCATTAAAACTTTTGCGTCAAAATCAAGTGTTTATCCAACTGATTGTCAATTCATTGTGCATTAAATGAAGTAAACGTTTTGCGTGTTTTCATCAAAAGTCACTTGTAAAACATGTTGATAAAAAAGTCATATTTCACTCGACTTTTGAAGGGACAAAATTGAAAATGTAAGCAAATATTGGTTAGACAAAGAGCAGGCAAAAGACTGATTGTCAGCAAAATTGGTGTCTCCATCATTCATCTTTAGCTTGATCGTCGTCATCATTGATCACAATGATAACCATGATGGAATGAAAAGACTGAAAAGTTGAGAAGCAAAAAAGAGCAAGAAAGTGAAACGAACAGAATACTTAAAGAATTAATCCTTGTTTTTTTCTCATTGATCTTGAGGCTTTTATAATGCTTCATGGTGATGGATTACTATAGATTATTGCGTCTATAATTCTGATCAACATTTCATTCTGTTATACCTATAACTGTGAATCAAACTGAATCACATCATGTTTATCTATTTTCCGTAAACTTCTTTTCACTTCATCTTATTTTTGTAAAGAGCAAGAAAAGAAAGGAAAAAAGTGTAACTCTAAAGAAGAGAAGAGAATGGAAGAACAAAAATTCTTTTCTTCTTTTGAACAACTGAATCAAGTTTAACTTTCTTCATCAACTTTTCTCTTCAAGTAATACATTGACAAAATGATGATAATGATGATCATCATCATAACCATCATCACCAACATTAGCAATAATAATGGCAATAGAGAAGTAACAAGGGAAAAGAGACAAAATTGAAAGATAAAAAAGAGCGACAATAAAAAACGATGTTAACATTAATATTATATTTTCCCATTGCTTTTGCTTTTAAAATTCAATTGTTGCCTCAATTTGTTTATTTCACCCAAAGTTGATCATTTCATACATAATGAATCGAACCATTTTTACAAACGATTGTGCATTTCAATGTTTTAAAACTCGAAAATTTTATTCAAAGAATAATCGAAACTCAGATTAAGCGATTTTAAAATCGAAAGCGATCTTTATTCGTTTATGATGTAGCAATAATAATTATATTAAGTTTCAATTAGCCACTAACAAGTTTCTAAATTTAGCTAATTTCCTCTTATTTTTTTATATTTGTATATTTTCACGTAATTTCTTAAGAAAGTATTTCATCTCAAGTCTAGATTTAGATCAACTTGGTCATTCGAATCAACACTCATATCTTTTGATCAACATGAATCATCAATATGTAACGAGCAACAAACAATCGAAAAAATGGTAATCTTATCAAGCGACTTTCAAATGTCATTGAGGTGTCAAATAACTGAATGCCCTTGAATGACCTCGAAAAGTTAGATTTATGGTTCTTCAATCTACGGGTTTCAAATGCGCAAAAAGATTGATATAGAATGTTTTTAGAATGATCTTGGACGTATCAAATTCTGAAGGTTTTCAGAGTTCAGTTTCGGAAATTTGACCTCTGCACTTGAAGGGCATTTATACCATAAGCCGTTTGGAGGTCAAAGGAACGAACGGATGCAAGTGCCATTTGAGTAGAACTGCTTGAACTCTCGAAAATCAAAGCAGTTCAAATATAAATTTTTAGTATGTTTGGTTCTCATCATTCTCATCTTTTCGAATTAACTTGAATTCAATCCGGTTCAGTGACGAGAAATTTTTTATGTCAACCAAAAGAGAAAACCATCAGAACACACGTCGTTGGTGTCTTGAAAGGCCGACCTTTTAAATGCACGCCCGCTCATGCTGCAAGTGAGCATATTGGTGTGGATTGAGCTCGATTGGCATGAATGGGCCATATTTTTTATCAATAATTTTGCTGAATTCGAGTATCAACGAATGATAGACGCAGCAATAATCACTGTGACGAAAGTGAAAGATAAAAAGATAACATCATCTTTTCTCTTCCCCACCTTAAAAAAATAAGCCAATGAAAATATGCAAGTTGGTTATGCATACATAACCTGATTCGCTATCGCCAGTGGTCATAGCGCAGTTTAACCGAAATGCAAATGAATCTCGAAACATTCAGATTTATTCTGTTTCTGTTTGCTCTACATTTCAAAGTAAAAGTGCGAACTCATTAATTGTTTTTCCTCCCATGAGCTTAGCTTACTCTTGCTTTTTGGTTAAATTTTGTCTTTTTCATTTGTTAATTCAAATTGTTTCTCAAACTTGGTTGTCAAGTGTTTAAAATTGTTGCTCTTAATTGTCAACTAATTGACTGTGTTGAATCAAAGAGCAACTGTTTCTTTTAATCCAATTTACTTGAAAGACAAACAATGAAAACAATCAGTTTTCCATGTATTATTACAATTAAACATTGATTTTCCCTTCATCTTCAACATTCCTCTTCAACAACAATTCCTATTGCAAGTTCATTTTTTTCTTGTTTTACTTCTTTTTTTGATACTTTTTCCCATTCCAAAATGCTAAACAATCTAACCCAACCTAACCTAACAACAAAACGAGTGTAGACAAACAAAAATAAAAAAATCTGAAACGAAAGGAAAAAAATATCAATAACAGAAAAAAACAAATATATTGACACATGAAATGAAACAATTGAATGATTTTTACTGGTTAAGATCGTTAAGATGAATTGTTCACTTTACGATTGATGGTCTTTCAAAGTTGGAAAACATTTTTTTCCCTTCATTCCTCAACTCATCATATTCCTCATCTACTCTTTTCTCATCTTTATTGTTTCCTTCATCTCTTCTCACCTCAACTTTTTAATCACACACCACTTTCAATTTCCTCCTCAAAATTCACTGAATATTTTCCGCTCACCAAACTTGTTTAGCCAAAAAAGGCAAACTCTAGTGTAAGCCAAAGTAAAGAGGAAAAAAATATTTACTTTTTGTCAAATTTTTCATTCCATCTGAAATGTTGGGCAAAGAGAAAAAAAAACCTCAAAAGAAGAACTTTTTTCTTGCAAAGACAAAATTTTTGTGGACATTTTCATTCTCTCACTTAACTTGTTATCTTTGTACTTCATTTTTTTCATTCAAACATTTTCCCTCATGTTAAGCTCATGATGTATTTAACCTCACATGAAAATGGAGAGAAAAAAGAATTTCTTTTCAAAAATAAACTCCAAATAGTTGGAACCACTTAGTTTTTTGCCTTCACAGAATCTGGTGAAATGCTCGAGTTCAATTTGACAAGTTTACTGGGAGTAAATGATATGAGTTTTGGAGAAACAGATAATTTTGATGAGTCAATTATTGTTTCATGATGGCCATCGAACTGTTCAACAATCATTTTACTTTTATTTCATGAATTTCGATGAATTTTCGATGAATTTATCATTAAGATTTTTGGGTGACAAAAGAAGAGAGAGAAAATTTTGGGGACAAAAAGTGGATAAAAAAAGGTCAACTAGCAAAATGGAAATGATGGTCATCATGATCATGTTAGGTGAACCTTCAGGGAATCATTATGATGAATAAAAAAGACTTGTATGAATCTGTTAGAGTCAAAGTTTGGTGTTCAACTGATAAACATCCAGAAGCACTTTTGCTTTTGTACCAAATGAGAAACTAACTTGTCCAATTGGTTTACTTTTTTCTTACTTTTACATCTTTTCTTGCCTTTTTCATGATCAACATCATGATGAGACTCTCCTCGCCCTCGGCAAATGTTTCAGCTAATCCGATAACAGAAAAGAGGCTAACATTATCACAATAAGGGAATGATATTTTCGATAAAAGAATATTCTTGTCTGATTTTTTCGGCTCATCATCATGATCAATATTGATATACAAAATGCTTTATTTATGTTACAAATGAATTTTCATGCCTTTCATGAGCAAAGTTACGAAATTTTTCAAAATTTTTTCATGCAAACGTTTCGATGTTTTAATCATTTTACCGTCTTCTATTTATGGCACTTTTTAATTTTGTTTCGCTATTTTTTCTTGTTCTAGTTCCACCTAAGATTCGTGCTGGTCAGTTAAGTTTTGGGGCCGCTAAAGGATCTCATGTGGACCTGCAATGTGAAGTTGAAGCTTCACCCAAACCAATGACTAGTTGGATAAGAAAAGATCAAATGTTGTTTGCGTCTAAAAAGTACAAAATTGAAGAGATTGTCAACTTTTATAATGTAACAATGAAACTGCGAATCAATGATTTGGAAGAAAAGGATTTTGCAGCTTATAAATGTGTTGCCAAAAATACTTTGGGTGAACGAGAAGGTCGCCTTAGGGTTTATGGTGAGTTTACAGTTATTAGTAGATTAATTGAGAGTAAATTAATTGCAATCCTGTCAAGTATCAACTCGAAAAAGATACAAAAGAAAATACGAAAAGAGCAAAGTATTAGTTCAATAAGCATTTTCCTAGTCTAGCATTTAACCAATAATAACGTCATATTTTAGTCTGAACGATGAAACAAAAATATTGAGACTCAACTTTCAATGTCAAAGCTCATTATCTTGCTTTATGAAAGGTTGAAAATTAAAATATTTGAACCTTTTTCGAAAACGTATCTTTGATTTGTTCTAGTCGCAAGAAAATAAACTTTTATTTAATGAAATTTTAGTTCCTGAGCTGAAAACGATAGATTTAACAGTATTTTTAGATTTCAATTTATCTGAGCAGACATCGTGAAAATTTTGAAATCCAAATTTTAACTGTTCATCATAAAGAAGATTAAACTGAAAGACGCTTAAAAATGGAAGCTTATCAGTTGGATCAGAATTTTTCATCTGAAAACGAGTTTTTTCAAGTAAAAGAATATTCAATTTGAAAATCATATCCTGAATTGGAAATTTGCATTTGGCGGGAAAAGTTCGAGTAAAATATAAATAATGCAATATTCATCAATTTTTTCAAATATTTATTTTCCATAAAAGCAAATTTCCCCAATATTTTTATTTTTTACCAAAAATTTTTAAAAGCAAATTAACTGAGAATCAAATCAACATTTGATTTAATATCATTAAATTGCTCTTTTAACCCAATCTATTGCCTTTACAAGCATTAATATCAAAATATCATCAGCTGGGAGTGAGAATGGTTTGAAAAGCATTTGATAGCAAAAAGTAATAATAATTTGTGTGAAAAAAAATCATTGATTTTTTAACCAACTTTTCCTTTTCTTTTAACCAATCAATCAATACTAATGAGTAGTAATTATCATTAATTAAATTTATTCATTTCTCTTCAAGAAATACCATCAACAACACCGTTCCCTGTAAGATCAACCTCTTCCACTCATAAACCATCCAGGAAAGTATTTACCGGTAAGATAATTGTTCATCTCATAACCATTAGGTAAACCCAAAAGTTTTTATCGGTTTTTAATCATTGATTTCAAATGATTAATTAACACAGAAAATTCATACAATTGTTTCGCTTTCCAAATGCTAAAAGGTGAAGCGATCGCTGTTGCAAGTCGATTTTTTGTCGAATATATTTTCGAGTATTAATCATTTGGAATCAATGATTAAAAAACCGATGAAAACTTTTGGGTTAACCTAATGATTTAAAGTGAAGAGCTTCAATTTCTCGAATTGATTGCTTTTCATTTTTTGGTTATAACTTTGAATTTTGTGTCGGGTAAAAGCAGATTGAAGTTTGATGAAAGGTTTGAAAAGGTTAATTCGATTGGCCATTAAATCAATTTCAATGTATTCATTGTTGTTCATTGTTATTCATTAATATTGAGAGAATTGGATTCGCTAATGAATTGAACGTGAAATGGCGAGAAGAGGTAAAATTAATAGAAAATGCAATTTTTCCTGTTCTCTTTTCACTCCCAGTCAATGGCACAATATTCAACCTTTTATACCAAATCACGTTCCAATGAGAATTAATGTTCAACAATAATGATGATAATATTGATCAGGGAAAAACTCATCATCTTACTTTATCTCAATAAGAAAACAATTAAACTCATGTTAATGATTACATTTCAATTAGAAGAGTGAAAACTTGATTAATATCGAACAACGAAAACAAAAAAGTAAAACTTGAAACAAAACTTTTCACCATTTCACATCTTTCTGTTAATTGTGAACAAATCATTCATTGAATCGTCAGTCAATTAAAGCCATTTTGTGCTTTTATCACAGCCAGCACTGCAACCATTTTTAGCCCTGGTAACAATAGGAAGGATGAAAAGGTGAAATCAAACAGCATGAGAGAAATGGCTCAAAAAAGTAAGTCCACTAACAATATTATCCGAATCAATCAATTCCCATTTATTATCATTATTATTTTTCCATCTTCATTTCTAATCATTATCATGTTATTATTTTCCATGCAATTTTCATTATCAGTTTTACCCAAACTCTTCTTTTCCCACAACTTTTCTCTTCTTTTCCTTTTCCATTTCCTTTTCGCCATCCTATATCATCCTCAAGTTCATCTTAATAACAAACAAAAATCTATTATCATTCCCTGTTATCAACTCCCAGTCAACTGATATCTTGTATCTAAATATTTACAGACAACATTTACCTTGTAAAGAGTAAAGACATTTTTTTGTTTCTTCTTTACACCAACCATTCAAGCCATTTGTTTATCATCAATTAATCAATCTCGAATCGCAATTACTTTAATTACAATGTTGAAATCGGTAACAAGAAACTTTCTCAAGACTGAACTTTTCTCAAATCAACTTTCAGATTATCGATTTAATCGAAAAATTCATTAATTCAAATCTCAAAAGTTGATTCAAGTGACAAAGTTAGATTATCCAAATTACATTAGCAATGATAACAATGAAAACTCAACATCGCTCATGAACTTTTTTATTCAATTTTATTCTTTTTTTCAAATTCTATTTTTTTACTTTTCTTTAGACTTTTCACCAATTTCTTTCATGATTTTTTCACCTTATCGTTATGAATGAACGATGAATTTGATTGAGAATTTTCTATTGAATTTGCTCGAAATTCATCATTATCGATGTTTCTAATGAATTGTCTTGTTCTTGATTCGCCATTGATACTTTGATTGTTTTTGTGGTGAAAATTTTGCACCAAATGATTGAAAAATGTGATTGAAATGAATCCATTTTCGTATTGATTTTATTTGCTATTAATGCGAAATAATCTAATGAAATATAAGAGAATAAAAAAAAGGTTGAAAACCTAATTTTGAATGAACCCATAAATCAATTGGTGAAACAGTTTTTGTTTTATTTTCCAATGAACATTAAGACATTGAAAATGATCATGATGTTGAACATGATGAGCCTGAAAAAGTTGAAACACACAACAAGAAAGATTAACGTTGATTGAAATAACAGTTTTCACCGTAAACTTCATTGCTTTTCATCTTGCTTGTGGCTACTAGTTTCACAGATAAAGATGAATTAGAAGAAGCCAGGATGAGGATAAGACAATGAACAGTCCATTTATTATTTTCATCTTCTTTCTTTCCCTTTCTCTTCACTCTTTTGGCCAACTTTTATCGGCCAAACAAGTAAAGTAAATAATTTGAATTCTCGTTTTCCGTCTTCACCCAAAACCCAGTCAATCGATTCCCAGTAATGATCCAGTTTCGTATTCCTTTCAATCTCAGTTAATTTTAGATTAACAGCAACAGAAACAGTAATCTCACATTAACTCTAGATAAAGACATCAGAACAAGAATATTTCGAAAAAGAACATTTCATCGAAGGAAAAACACGAAATTTTCATCCATTTAAATTCAATTGTAAAGTGAAAAGAAACCCAAAATCAAACTCTATTGACATCCAATTTCATCTGAAAAATCTTTAGTCATTTCAAGTTATCTTTAGGTATAACAGTCAATGAGACTTTGACTTTAGTGTTAGAATGAAATTTCGCTTAAAATCATTTTCCATCGTTTTTAATTTCCAATACTTTTTATGTCCATTAACATGAATTGAAATCTTACAGTTGACTTTGAAACATGTTCAGGCGATTTGTCTTTTACTTGGAACTAGATTTTGGTCAATATTTTTTGTACTTTTATTCAAATCTCTTTACATTTTAACCTTTTAACCATCATTACCATCGATTTGACTGGTTAGTTGAATCTCAATGATAATTGTTCAATTGTTTCAAGTTACATTGTGCTCTTTTTACATCGTTAAAGTTGTTCCGTCCAATTGATGCACTTTTCTTGTACCAATTGTCGTAATCTTGAAAACTACTTATAAGTTATCAAGTGAAGATATTCATGTTGTTTGCCATTTTACTTATCATCATCTTCATGTTTCAATCTCGCAGGTATTGTTGACATTATTTCCTTCCATCCAATTGTCTATCATGTAAAGGCAACTCATGAATCAAAATATTCAACATCTTGTTTCATTGATATACAAGTTAAAAGCAAAGTAATCTTGAACAAAACCAAGATGAAAATAAAAGTGACTTTGAAGCTTAAAGAAACCCAAAAAAAACAACTTTCTTAACCAACAATTAAATGCAACATTTTGATTATTCTCAAAGTCTATCAAAAGGTTATTAAAAATTGTTTCTAAACTCATTAAGAATTAATTTGAATATCATTTCAATTACCAATTTAAATTCATTTTTTATTCTCATTTCAAGTTAATTTGTACTTCAATTTTACCCCAAACAATTACACAAATGTTAAATGGTTTCAAGTGATTGAAGTGAAAAAATTATGTAGAAAGTTGAGATTGAAAGAGTTTCCTTATTCCTTGAATGTTTCATTTCACAGATAACTGTGAACAATTGACTGGATAAACATCATTTTCATGGGCAAAAGGTTAACATGTCTTCACTTGGGAAACATTGAGTTCGCATGGGTTAACACTTTTAACACACAGCTTTGACCACAAGACTGAAAACTATTGAACAAATCACTTTCAGTTTATCACTAAAAGTAGCTCATCATTTTTCAACAATAATATCCAAACATCAATATAAATATACATTAAACATGATTACCCATGATGGCTTGGTGTATTGCCTTATGTTGATAGGAACAAGATAAATCTGAAAAAGGGAAAAGTGAATGTGAACAAAAAATGATGAAAATTGAATGTTTATCAAAGTTTATGTGAAAAAAGGTTGCCAATGAGGTTTGTTGTGTGTGAAAAAAGGCAGATAATATGAAAGTTGAGCAAATAAAAGCTACGATGATGATGATGAAGGATGAGAAACTTATTGTGAACAAAAAGGTCATCTAAGGAGAGGAAAACTTGCCAATATCTATTCATATTCATCGACTCAATTTCATTTCAATTGGATTCTCATGATTCTCAGATAAATGTTCAATTTCATCTTTCGTTTGTATTTCACTCTTTTTTCCCTTCAACTTTTTGCCTTTTCAAATTTAAACTTTTCAATTACATGTCAATGTTTGTCTGTCTTCATTTGTTCAAAATGATTCTCAGACTGATGAATATTTTGAAGGAAAATTTTGTTGCAATTTTTTTCTTCATTTCTTTTGTTCAGTTTATTCAACAAATTGACATCATGTTCATTCCAAGACTGAGGTTAAACTGTGATTAGGATTAGGCATAAATGTACTACAAAAAGGACATGAAAAGGTGACTTCTGCTGAAAACTCTTAGCATCACATTTGACTTTGCTTTTGAAATTCGTTGTTTAATTTAGAATTTTATTTTTTCGATTTTTTAGAGATCATTTTGAATGTTTTAATTTGATTCACGAATCATAAGAGTCGATAATTGAAATAACTCGATGGTCTTCACCTTCAATCGTATGGATTCATCAGGATTAATTGCTAATACAGTTGGAAGTTAAAATTGAAAAATGATGAAATGAATTCATTTGTTATGACATTTTGAGGATTAAAAGCTTAATCATTATCGATTGGATTAAAATTCATTGTATCATTAATGGTATCATTAGAATGGAAATTCAACTTCTTTTGTCAGATGAAAATAGTCTGACTGAACAATAATCAATGCACCTTTTAAGTGAATTTAAAGATTCAATTTTAATCTATTAAAGGTTAGCTACTTGTCAGTATTTTTTGCTATTTTACGTAAAACTGAATTCCTAAATTTAGACTGAAACTCATTTTATCAATGTTAGTTTATTGCTGTGAAAATGTCGATAATTTTCAAAATTTAGAGTTTATTAAAAGTGCAAGTTTACTCTTTATTTGTCCAATTTCATCTTGTTTAATCTAACTTGCTCAAATAATAAGCATATTGTCATTATTAAATTGCTTTCACTTGTGTTAAGTGGAAATTGTATGTAAATGTTTACTCTTTACTCTTTAATGTCATTATGATAACTGTAAATCCTCAATTGTATAATATTCAACTAATCATCAATTATGGTTGAAGGTTTACAACAACAAAGAGTTGAAATAAACAAGTTTGCTTTTAAATAAGTCTTTCTTGTTCACATCATAACTACATAAACACCATCATTCCATGATGAAGATGATAGCAATAGATATTATTAAATGGATACAAATAAATCAGACTATTCCTGAGTTTTCTGTTGCAACAAAAACAACCAGATCAACCTTTAAAGTCACAGTCTGTTTGGTTGATGATTTACTTCATTTCCAGCCATACAACAAAAAGAAATCAAAGTTGAGACTTTGGAGGAAATTATTTTATAGTAGACATAAAACGATCAGATTTTTTTTGCTCCCAACAGAAATAACATCAAAGTTCCAAATTTTGTGAACTCGGACACAAAGTAATCAGCGTTTTAGATTCGTAAAAGAATGCGCTTTCAATGTCTTCCAGATAATGAACAGAAAGAGTTGGAAATATTCTCTGTTTGATGAATTGTGGTTTACATGTTTTACATGATTTCATGTTCATTTTTCTTTCAGTCTTTCATTCTTTTGGACAGTCTTCAGTTGATCAATGGTTGAATCGGTTAAGTAACATGTTGAAGTTGTATTACATTGGTTGCTGTTCATCTTGTTATAGTTGTTATTTGATTTGCTCTTTAATCTGTCCTTTACTTGTTTTTCATCATTTTGCTTGCTTTGGCCAAGTTGCTTTCATTGTTACAATGAACATCTAGATATACAATAATTGGAAAGATTGTCAGGTATGATATTGATGAGGTTTCTTGGTTCTCTTGTTTCTCTTTCTTGGTGGACTCCTGTTTTTTATTGTTGTTTACTGTTGACCAAAAAGAAGGAAAGAGAAAGATATTTTAGTGAATGATGAACAAGAAATAAGAATCGTCTTTTATAAAAGATTAAATGGATGATAAGGATTACATGGAATATGGTGTCAGACTTAACTGTATTAATGTAACAACAGAAAGCATATTATGATGTCGATGATGATTGGGATTGATACCAAATACAAAAAGAAGCATGGTTTGATTGTTTTTCAATTTGTACCCATCACAAAAGATATTAATATGTATTCAACAAGGGCAATACAATAATCAGACTGGTTTGGCAAATCAATACAAGACTAATTATTTGGCTTTATTTTACTCTTTTTTTGGGTTCACGTTCGTACTTTTTATATGTTACTCACAGAATAGAATCAAGTTGATTATTAAAATTTAATGGATTGGTTGGGTTGATTGAATTTAATCAATTGACAAAAATGTCAGGAAGGTTTTTTCTTGTTCTCCTTTTTTCTTCTCTGGCCTTTTCATCTAATCAAGTTTACCAACAGAAGATGAATTAGTGTCTCATTTAGAGTTTGGGATGAGAAAAAGAACAGGAAAGATTGTCAACTTACGAGAAAAATGGTGGACAAATAGAGAGTGATCATCATGATGATGGTGTTGGTGATGGTGGTGATAGTGGTAGTGGTAGTGGTGGTGGCAATGAGCTGTGTAGAGTTGAAGAATAGACCAAAAGTTAGAGAATCAGTGATGAAGACTAGAAGATAAGAGGAAAGGAAAAAATTATTCAGTTTCTTGTGAGTTAAACTTTTTATTCCTCATGAGACACATTCAGTTTCTGGATAATGGTTACTCCAAATTAACTCAAATTTGTTGTTGATTCACTTTCTCTCTCATCCTTTATTGTAACTAGTTTTATCCATGTAACTGACCTTTTTTTTGTTGTACTCTGTTGGTCTCAAGATCTCTGAACCCATGAACTCTTAACTGACAAGCAACCTTTCCTATTATGCAAAAGGTAGGTCCAATGGCTGTGTACCAAGTTTTTTTAGATGAGCTAAAAGAAAGAGAAAAAAACAGTTAACTAAATGTTACCTAAGTAATTTTAAACCTTAACTAGCTTGATACAACATCCTTCAAACAATTCAAATTGAACGTGTATCATCATCCAAAGATGGTTTCCAATAAAAGGCTAATGGAAACCTTCTCAACGTTTTTCTTGTTTCTTACCTTTTTTCATGTTTTGTCTTGTTAACATCATGATTTTTGAACCGATTCCTGGGCTCCTATTTTTAACCTGCATTTTTTAGGGAAAAAAAGAGGAAAACAAGAATAAATTTATCGGTTAATTTGTTTAAGATGTTTAATATTTTAAGCTATTATTAAAAATGACAATGAGAATGTTGGACGGGATGAGAAAAAACAAAAGCGTGAAATGAAAGCATTTGTTTTGAGATGTTTGATTAGAGATGATTGTTGCTAGTTAATCTAAAAACAATTTCGTGTTGAAATGAAACCCTCAAGTTTGAACTGGATTAAGGGATAAATCAGCTTAATTAAGTCAACAAAAGAGTGGATTGAAAGATCTAGATTTGGCTTTCAGTTAAAGTCAACTTTCATGTTACAAGAGTTGAGACGCAATACTTACTTTATGATCCCATAAAGGCTTAAGATGTAACTATCAAATTAAATTGCTAGTAAATCTACATCACCGCATGAACTAGTAAACGATTGTTTGTAAACACTCAAAGTTGACTAAACAATCAATTAATTATAATTAATCAATTATAATTAAATGAAGAGAAAGGGTTTAAAAAGTTAGAAACAAAAGAGTCAACATTTGAAATTGAAAACAAAGCAAAACCGTTAAAGGGGTCGTTTCCTAATCAAACAGTTGAATGTTGCATTTCTTTGTTCAATTATTGTCATTATATCTTTAATTACATTGATTCCTGTGATCATTAATAGTAACAATTATGGTGTAAAAATTAAGGAAATAACTGAGAAAGGAAATGTTTTCTCGCCCAAAAAGATAGCTTTTTAATCCATTCTTACACCATTCACCAAGTAATAGCTGGTAATGATTCCAATCTGTCTCAACATTTTTGTCTGTGTCTAACCCATCAAAGCTTTACGTAGTAAATTTCATCTCTCAGAAACAGATTCAATGGGATTTAAGAAGAAAATTTTGGTGAGTAGAAAAAGTTGTTCCATTGAATCTTGTGTTATTGAAGAAATGGGCTCGAAGAAAACGTTAAAGAGATGAAAAAAAGTGTATACGAAAGTACAGTTGGATAAAAGCCTCAAGTCGATAACTTGGATAAATATTTTTCTACTTTTATTTTCAAAGTGTATCTTCAACTTGAAATTATCACATTTTCATTGCTTCCAGGGGTTAAAATTATCATCATGTAACATTTATATCCTTTATATATAATTTTGTTCACAATAATAAAGTGATGAAAAAACAAGAGAGAAAAAAATTTTGAAAAAATAGACTTCAACTGAACAACTTTGGCTTGAGCTGGCTGTGTGAGTGTGAAGCCATTATTATCACTTTACCATGTTGAAATAGATGAACAATTGAAAGTGAACGTGATTATCTGTTTATTGAGGTAATTACTATCATGACGGAAACAATAAAATATCACCCAAAAACAAAATATCATGTTATTAATTTTAACATTTTAAAAGGTAAATAGCAAGGTAACAAAGACTGGTTAATCAAAAGACTTGATAGCAATTTTCTTTGTCTATTCAGTTGATGTAGCTTTAGTTTCAATATTTTTTGCCTTCTGACCAACAATGGGTCCAGCTATTGGCCATTGTTAACCAATCTTGAATAAGATCCAAAATAGAGATCAATTTATAAACAGAACTAATCAGTCTTATTGGCCTTTTGTATTTCCAATCCTATTGTTGATTTTTTTTCTTGGTTTTCAATCAGCCTTGGCTAGTCTTGTCCATTGTTTTTGATAATTTGTATTACATTGTCAACATTGATGATACTGACTGAGTAAAGGTCTGCGTAAATGAAAAGTTGTTTTTTTGTGTTTGTGTAAATTGAACAAAAAAACTGAGAAAACTCTGAAAGGCAATTGAATGAGATTCAGAAACGAAACTGCAGGGAATTGATTGAGGAAGAAGAAATGAATTTTTTTCCTATTCTATTTTTTCCTTTGAATCTCTTTTTTTAGTATAAATTGCAACTGATAAAGATTTCGATTGAAATTGACCTTGTCTTGCAATGATTTATTGGTTACTCCAATAATAACTCCAAGTGAACCATCAACGGGAAAATATATAAATGTATTTGATCCAGGGAAATTTGAGAATAAAAGATTACCAGGGAAAAAATGATGGCCAACTAAATGAGGTACCAAGTTTACAAATGAAGGTTTTATCCTTAGCCAGTGTTACGATTAGGTGAAGATGAAGATATAAACTGATGGAGATTTTATCAGATCATTTCTGTTGGTGTTACTGGATGAAATATCATCAATATGGTGGCATTTTTTGCGTCAATAAAACTTGAAAATCTGTGCATAAAAGAGGAAAAGGAAGTTAAAACAAAAGTGACAACAAAATCTGTGAATATAAAGGGAAGGAAAAAGGAAAAATGTGAATGAAAGGGAAAAATAAGGAATGTTGAAAATAAGAAAAATAACATTGACTCTTTTTTGTTCCTCTTTACTGTTCAACTCCCAAAAGCTTTTCTCGTTGATGTTGGTGTTCCAGTTTGTCTTATTGTAACAAATAATGTAACCAAAAATATCTGGCAAAGATGGAGATGATGATGAAGGGAAAGTGTAATATAAAATGAAGAAGATGAAAAAGGATAGAAACATAATGCGTCCATCAAAGTGGGAAGGTTGATTTTGTTGTTTTTTGCTTCACCTTCATAACTTTCCAATAGATTTTGGTGAATTCACTTTTCTTCTTGTTCAATGTTACAACAGCTTGAACGTAAACCTTTTTATTTAGTCTTGTTGCTGCTCCTATTAGGGTAACACCGATTACAAGGTGTATGATAGTGTATTATTTAGACTGTTGTTATTTCCTTCTTTATTGTTGATGTTTGCTTGTTGGTCTCTGTATTCAATAGTCAGGTTGCCGGTGAAGATGATGAGAAAGGTTGGAAGAGGAATGGAAGAGAAAGGCGAGAAAAATATATTTTCAATTCTTCGTTATTTTACATCTTTAACTTTCATCTCTGCTTTGCTCATTTTTCCCACTACATCTTTGCTTCATTCCTGTTCATCTTCTCGCTCATCATCATTATCATCCTCATACTTTTTCAACTGTTTCCCACTTTGTACTCCCTGATAACCCTGAGAAAACTATCATCAATAACATGAGCGAAAGGTTGATAAAAGTGAAAAATATATAAATTACATTCCTCTTGCCCTTGAGTAGTATTATTTTATATATATATTATTATATTGATGTACCTTTTTTTTATACTCTCAAACTCCTTGTTAAGGCTTCTTCATCCTAAAAAAAACCTTTTTTTTCACCTCTTCTTCACCATAATCAGATCAATATCAAGTGAAAGGATGAAGAAATGATCATTTTCCTCCTCTTCTTCCTTCTCTTCATTCCACTTCTCCGTCTTCCTACATCTTCCTCCTTCTTTCTCCACTCCTTGTATCAATCTTCATCCCTTTTGCTCCTTGTGAAGGTGATAATTCACGGAATGACAATGGCGATAAACAGTAGTTAACTTTAATTATATGTTTCAACCAGAAAATAGTGAAAGATTGTTTTCCTTTCCTTCTTCAACTGTAAAAAGACGAGAGAAAATAAAAAATTAGATTGTTGAACAACAAGATTGTTATTAAATTAATTTTTCTATGTTAGTTTGCGAGATGAATGAATCTAGATCAATACTCAAAGGGTAAATGACTTTCACTAAGACTGTAAGATTATAATTATAACTTAATTTAATTATAAACGTAAAAGGGGGTTGGATAAGATTAAAATAATGGGTTTTAATGCATAATTATCCTGTTAATAGTGATTAACAGGATAATAACATTAAATAACATTAATTTGTCTCTTCTCTTACGACTCAATATACAATATTGAATCTTGTCTTGGAGTTGCTTGCTATTGTAAATAGGCTTTAGATGATGATCAAGTGAACAAAACAAAGATTTTTTTTCCAACCTTTCATTTGACTCTCACTGTATTTAAGCCTTTATGTTGTTGTCTTTGTAAGGTAAACACTGATTATCATAATCAAAAGTAAATTGAATATGTTAATCGTTGTTTGATTGTTTGCAAGTGAAGAGTTGGGTTGACAAAAAGAAGGGGTAAATTTGACAAAATTAAAATGTTGGAAAAAAAGGTTTAAAAATTGATTAGCTTGCTGTAAGAATCAACTAACCGTGAAACTAAAATAATCATCATGCTAATTAATTGATTAACTCTCCTTTCCCTTATATCAGTATTGGTAAAGGAAAGAGCATCAATTTGACTGGAAAATGGAAAATAATTAAACTTCACAGTTAATCATCACTTTCCATTTTAATTTAATATTCATCGTTTCCTATGTTATAACCCAAAGAATGACACTCATTATCACCTAATCCAACAATTTACCCACAAAAAATTGACAATAATTTTCACCTGCAACAATTGACTTTGTTTTTTCTTCATTTCTCTACTCTTCAGGAGAATCATTAAATGGAAATAATGTAAATAAAAAATCAAATTATGATCAAACCAACGTGTTTAGTGGAAGCAATGAGATCAAATCAAGTGGAGTAATGATCAAACAATTAGGTAAGCCATTAATATAATTGATTTCAATTTTTTCCAATTCTTTCATGGTCATCCTCATGTTGCTCTTCAATCTGTCACTTTCAATTCAATTGTCCATTAATAATCCGTACAGGCCTCCAAGTTGCATGATCAGTGCATGACCATTAATCTCGCCTTGATCAACTAATTGACTTTGATTATTTGATGATTTGACCAGTCATCATAACCAGAAAAGATCACTCCTTTAATGGCAAATCTGTAGGTAAAGAAGAAGATATAAATTAGCAAAATTAAGATAACCAATAATTATGAAGCTGCAGAATCGCAGGAAACAATTTAAATTCAATCATTAATTAATTGAATGTTAATTCCAAGCAATTTGCTGATAATAGTGAACACACTCAAGTAAATTACGTTTTCTCCTCTTCTGTTGTTATTAATTTTCATACAGAATGAAAAAAAATAAACGCAATGATAATCATGCAAAAATGAGGGAACACATTTAAACCATTCAATATTATTTTGTTTCTTGATATAAAAGGTAAATGAACAGTTCTAAGTGTTATGTATCAAATAAATAATAATAGTGAGAGTTAAATATGTTTTACTTGAAATAAAAAGCAACTTATCTTGCAAATTTAAAGATGAATTATTATTTATAATAATGTGAATGGTGGAATCGGAAGAAATGATTTAAATAGTTTATTTTGTTTCTTTTCTTGAACCATTTTCTTTACCAACCAGTTCCCTTTGATTACAGACCTTGTTATTGTTATTAACATTGTACCTGTACAACAAAAGGTTAAACATAGTATGTTAATGCTATTATTATATTAAATTAAACACAGGCAAAGAGCAACAATAAAACTGGAGAGAAAAATCTTTTAAATAATAATCATACCAATTGAAGTTGATTGATACAGTAGATCACAAGGATTTTAGTTGATTTTACTTGGATTCATCCAATTTTACCATCTTTTTAATTGTCTTCAGGGAAACCGTTAATTGGAGTAAAATTATGATGGCTCTTTGATGATGATATTGATCGGTTGATTTGAATAATTTGAACATTTACGACCATTTTTTATAAGTGAATCTGTAAAATTAAGAAAAATTGATTAGTGGTTTGTACTTAAAATGATTGTTATGACCATCAATTAGGAGGGTTAATGAAAATTGGGTCAAAAAAGGGTCAAATTTTGTGAATTTTGATTAGTTAAATAGCAATAAAATCAGTGAGATGAAAGTGTTAAGTAATAAAATCTTTGGATCGCAATCTAAATTGAAACCAGTATCACAATTGTCACGCAAATTCACACTCTTCAACATCTTTACCACATTTATGGTTAAGATTATTAGCAGAATCATTAACATTATTATTAGCATCATTATTGACCAACAAGCTTAATTTCTTTGGTTGACCTGTCGAAATGTTTGTTGGTATGAAAAGCAGTATATAAATAATGGCTCTAGTTTTGGGTGACAATTTGTATCATATTCATAATAATGTTAATGATAATTGAGACTTTTCTGCTTGATCTCTGTGGACACTCTTTTATATGCACTCATCAAAACATATTATATGTTCAACTAACCTCATTGATTATGCATAACATTATTATCACACTTTCAACTGTTCAGTATTTCCAGTGATGTGTATTACATGTAATAATATATTCTGATCTGTGTGTGTTTGTGAGTGAATATAATATAGAGTGTAAACCATGAATATAAGCAGACATTGAAAATGAAATGAAATATTATAAGTGTTATAAATATAAATCAGTAAACAATATTTATCGTTTACTTTAACCCTGTAAATGCTGTTTACCATATTATACTCTATTATTGATTAACAATTGTTGTTCAACTTTCAACCCTTTTTTTCCCTTTCATCTTGTCATCAGGTTACAATGGATTAAAGATATTGACCATGGCTGGGTTCATTACAGTGTTTACCTGGTGGTGATAACACACTGGAAAACCATAGTCCATCATCTAGTCAGCTCAAATTATGCCAACAATCAATCCTTTGGTTAATTGCTTTTCTTTCCCAACCTTTCAATGGGAAACTTAACCAATGTCTTGTACCAATTACTATCAAATGGATGGTCCAGATGTTTAACTTGATATTTGTTAGCTTTTTTGATCATCAAGACATCAATGGGTTATCTTTTGGAAAGATTTGAATCACATCATTTATATTCCCAGTAATTCCTTTGGTTTAGTAATTCTTGATCAACACCATCTTGAATTATTTAAATTGAATAAATCTGTAAAGAAAAAGGATAAAAAAAGATGAGAATAAAGTAAATATGAAAAAAATGGATAATATTAAACATGAATTGCTCACTTTTAGACACTGACAATGAACTTTTATCGTTGATTGTCAATAGCCAAAAAATATGATGCATATTGAGATATGAAAAAAAGTCTCCTCCGATAGATTAATTTACTTCTTTTCATCAACTTTTTTCCTATTTGTTAAATATTACAATGGATCTGTAATGATCACTTTATGTAAAATGATGGATCAGAGGAAGCAAATAAGCAACCTCAAAACAATAAAAAAAAGACTATGTAAATTTATGAAATACTCATCATGAAATGTATTATATATGTACACTGACTATCATAAATTATTTGACTAATTAACATAAAATTAATAATGTTGTTGGTTAAATGGTGAGACAAATCACTTTGAACAAAGGAAAGATGGATGACCAGGGTAATCTGTTCAAAGTTAACAACCAATACATCAATTGAAATGTAGATTTAGCGTTTTTTTGCTCTTCAGAATGTCAGAATATGTTGCTTACTTGTATAAATATAAATATATTGAAACAGAGAGTTAATCAAATCTTGAAAGTCGTTCCTCACATAAGATGATGGAAAAATATTCAGCTTTTCCTCAAATGAACTTTGTAAAGACGAAAGGAGGAAAATGAAGGAGTGATGAAGGGAAAGGGTGATAAGTATGGAGGGAAGATGGAGAGAGAGAGGAACAAGAATTAGAATTGGAAGGACGTGAATTGAAATGGATTGCTGGTGAGTTAGGTTGTAGAGTTGGTCACAATTAGATTAAAGAAGACACCAAAAAGGAAAGTTTTTGGGACATTGAAAAGGAAGGAGCCAAACATAACCACAGAAGGAAAAGAAGTGGTTAGTATGTGAGTGTTGACTTGGTGTGCTTGTGCTGGACTGTTGATGTTTATCATTATCGCCATTATTATATTTTGTGAATCCCTTGATTTGCTTCTTCCAACAAATTGCAAATTGTTTCAACGATATTTCAATGAGGAAAGTTGAACAGTATCTGGAAGAGAAATGAAAAAAATAACATCAATAAGAGTTGTGAACAGATGAATAGGAAATGAAATACAATAACTGATAAAGAAAAAGAGAGATGATGATGATGGCTTAGATGTTGGTGATGATAATAACAAGGGAAGAGGATTGACGATGAGAAGGAAAATATTAGTTGTGGTAAAGATATGAGATAGTTATGTTTTGTTTGTGTATAACCTCAATCAGTATAAATACAAACACACATAAATATATCGAGTTCACGTAACAACTACAATACTTAATGTCATTTCCTATCAATACTATTATTTCTGATTATGTTTCACACTTTATCGACAATTTGTTCCTTTTATTTTTTCATCTTTTCAGTCCTTTTTTGGGATTCCTTTGGCTTTCTTTCTTCATCACCATTTGGTTTTTTTTTGCTGCCACAGATCAAATTGAATAGTGAATAGGCTGTAGATTTTGTGATTTCAATTTAATCAGCCCATGAATGTAGTTCTCTTAAACGACATTTATTCCACGTATTGATTTCATCTCTTCATTATTGGGTAGAATTGTTATTTCTCAGTTGATTAATTTAGATTGACGGTATTCCTGGTTGCTTTGTGTGTTTCATTTAACGTGAAAAGTGTAACAAAATTTGCTGACAAAATTTTTAGTTAATGATTATGAAGGAATGAGGATAATGATAAAATCAGTCCTATTAATCTTTCCAACTAATACGATGATCCAATATTCATGATCTTGACAATAAAATCTTGCTCTTTTCACCATCAATGTTGCTTTTTCACCATGTTTTTTTTGTGTAGCTAATGTTGTCTATTAACAGCTGCTAATAGATGATTAAATTTTAAACAAGTTATTACCAATTAATGCATGATCCAATTAAAGATTGTTAAGTCATCATTTATTCCAAGTTAATCTTTTCCTAGAGTTATAAATTAGATTCAGCTCAGCATCAGTCTAGAATGAAAAAAGAAACAAGAAATTAGAAAAATGATAAATATAGAAACGGTTAATAATGAAAATGGATAAAATTCCATATCTTGCTGTTTTAACCAGTTTAAAGTATTTTGAAGTGTTTGTACCTGTTTATAAGTGTGAACTACCTGAGTATGTCATTATCAATCGTTTTAAAGCAATTCAACTGTTCTTTTCTAGTGTTGTCTACCAAAGCCAGGAGAGTAATTCATAGGGTATTAAAAAACGTATCCATGACTGTGATAATAATGATGATCCTGAACACAAGAGAAGAAGAAAAAAAACAAACATAAAAAGACTGCATTAGAAAAGTGATAGTAAAGATAAAGAGGAGAGAGAAAAGAGTGAAGAATGAATAAAAGTAGTGAAGAAAGGGAAGACAATAAGACGAATAGATAGACGAGGAAAAAAAGGAAGAAAAATAGACATTGGAAATGAAGAAATCACTGTTATTCCTGAACATAACATTCTGTTACGCTTTTTTCCACTGTTCATAAATGTTATTAGCTTATTGGGTTGATGGTCTTTTCCGAGTTTCAGTTTTCCTTTTTCTTGCTTCAACAGATCAGTTTCCCTTAACTGGAGCTTTCCTTTGTTTGGAATCACGATTTTTTACATTAAAAAAAAGGAGAGAAAATGTTTGCATACATTTTGTCATCAACAGTCAAAATGTTTCGATTGGAAATTGAATAAATATCAGATTAAATAGACTCATTGTCAGGCGAGAAATGAAATCCAAATTACCATGTTGACACAACAATGGAAAATAACACTTGAAAATTATGATCTTGTTTTCTTTACATTTTTCATCTCTTTTCTGGCTTTTCACTTTCTTTTTCAGTTTTCCTTCAATTATGATCACCAAAGTTGAAATGTCTTGTTGAATTTAATGAAGAACATTTTCTTTTCTTTGTTTCCACCATAAACCTTGACTCGTCTGGTTTATCTTATGCACTGGTTCAAAGGTTTTGTTTTGTCTTCTAAACATTAAACCATTTTCGTCAAATAAATACATTGAAGTTACATCGGGAAAATGTATTCAAAGATTGAGAAAAATGTACACCATGATAACAGGATTGAATATTTATTCCAAATTAGATAGAGATTTTGATTCCAGAGTGCTGCTATAGAAAGAGAAGAGGAATACAGGCATTAGATGATAAAACAGTGATTCACTTCCAGTTGAGTTAACTTAACCTTTTATTGCCCAAAGCAAAAGTTGATTTAATCCTTTGAATATTGATTATCTTCAAGTAATGGTCCATTTAATCCTGATGTGTTAGTGAAAAAAAAGAAACAAAAAAGTAATACTATTATACTATAAATAATCAAACATTGATTACAACCATCAATTTGTCTCTTCACAAGATAATTATTATTAAAGGAATCAAGAAAAATTGTACAGGCTGCAATGTAAATTTTTTTCCAATTGGTTTAATCGGTAATCAAAAGTTGTTCGAACGTAAATTAAATTAATTATCAGACAAAATAAACATTAACTTGAATTGAATTGACTTACTAATAATAATTGAAATGCCAATTATAAAGTTAATTCAACTTTAAATGTTGTCCTTGCTTAAAACCGTTAGATGGCGGCACATTTGAAATAAACAAAAGTTCGTTGAGATTTTTGCGCCAATCAGGGTTGAGTATTTTTCGGTTTAAACTTGGTTGGAGGCAAAACTGTCATTTTGTTTTCACTCAAATTCATATCTATTAACTAACCTTTATTTTATGCCAATGTAAAGATTTATTTTTTTTAAATTACTTATATAAATTCAATTTCAACTGTAATTGCTGGTTTAATTTTGTTAACTTTTTATTGAGACTTTTTTTTCATTGTGCATGGTTGGATATAAATGCAAGTGTAGTTTGTGAAAATGCCTTCAACAAGTAGAGACGACAGGAGGAAGACTTTGAATAATTTTGTTCGGCCCAGTATGGTCAGTGGATTTTATGAAAATGGTGTCATCACAGAAGAAAATGATCCAGAACTTGAGTAAGTATCAATCTTAATTTACTGAGATTTTAGGTTTCATTTTGTCTTCAAGAGGGTATATGTTTACCGCTTTTTTAACAAACGCTTTTTTCAAACTTACTCTCTTTCTCTTTTTCTTTCTCTCTCTCTCTCTCTCTCTTTCCTTTCTCTCTTTCCTTTTCTTGCTTTACTCTTGTCTATTCTGTTTTTATAGAGATCATGATAATGATGCTGAAGAAAGAGAATAATCGCCGGGAAGAAAGTTGCATTGAAGACGAATCCAATCTTGGACAATTGTAAGTTTATCTTCTGTTCTTTGTTTGTAAAAAATGTCTTATTTAATTTCATTATTTTGTACCGTTTATAAAGGGTTATGGAGAGAAGCCAAGAGGTTGTTAATAAATTTATGGACACTATGACATCTCTCGCTGAAAAATGGGCCTACCTCGGATTAAACAAGAATTGTTTTGAAAAGCGACTTGATTCAATTTTAAACAACTTCATTGAATTGTGTAGTGATGCCGAACAGTGGGAAGATACACTGGTTGGTTACTTGGAACAAGAGAAAGTGCTTATGTTAAAAAACTTGAGAAACCTAACCAAAGATCTTGCTTTACCTGACTATGAGCCTCCTCAAAGTGGTGGATTTATGGATATGCTTAATGATATCATGGAAAAACATGAAGAACTTCAATTCATCAAAAAAGAACGTTTCTCTAAATGGAATGAGCTTCATTCCCATTATTCATCTCTATGTAATAAACTGGGCTATCCAGAAGAAGGTCATAGATTATCCACCACATTGTCCATTCCAACGGAAGCTGCCCTTCAAGAGTTACAGTCAAATGTGATGGAACTTAAAAAGACTTATTCCAAAAAGCAAAAAATTTATATTCAAAACAAAAGATCCATACTTCAGTTGTCTAATGACCTTGAGATTGAACCTGATTCTAAGGATGTTGTCAAGTATACAGGTCACGAGGAAACTTCTGTTATTCTTTCTGACAGTTTCCTGAAAGATCAAGAGTCTTTTATGCGTTCCCTGGAAAAACAATTTGTGAACAATGAAAAAAACAAAGAAATACTGATGGGAAAGCTAGAGCAACTCTGGGAAAAACTGGAAGTTGATCAATACACAAGAAATAAAGAGTTAAATGGTATCAATGGTTGGAAACCAAGCGAACTTGTTAAGTTAACAGAATTGGTAGAAAAGTATGAAGAATTGAAAAAACAAAATATGGGTAAATTTATAGAGAAACTACGTACAGAGATTGTTGAATATTGGGACAAAGTTTACGCTTCTCAAGAAGAAAAAGATGAATTCGAAATTTATATGTGTGAAGAAGAATGCATTGAAGCTTTGTTAACCGCTCACGAAGATGAACTAGAGCGTCTAAAGTTCCGTTATCAAGAAAACCGTAAATTATTCGAGTCTTTGGATGAATGGCAACAATGTTGGGTTAAATACTTGGACTTGGAGAAAAAGATGAATGATCCAAACAGATTCAACAATCGTGGAGGTGTTTTATTGAAACAAGAAAAAGAAAAAAAGAAAACTCAAAAAGACCTAACTCGGTGTGAAAAAGATATTCGAACTTTGGCAGAAAAATGGTCCAAAGAAAACTACAATGCTCCCTTCATGGTGTGCGGTCAACCTGTGTTAGAGTTCATTGAGTGTCAAAAAACTCATTATCAGGTTAGTTTCATGTCAAATCATTTAATATGCTTGTTTTTATCTTCCATTACGTGGGTCGTTTTACTAATTTATTGCATTTATTTATATTGATTTAGGTATACAAAGATAACGAGAAGATGGCAAGGCAAAAGACCAAAAGTGATGCCGATGCCAAGTCAAGAAAACTTCAAAATGGAAGTTCCAAACCAACACCTAATTTACTTACCCGAACTCCAACCAAATTTTCTGCTAATAATACTCCTACCTCAGGAGTTAAATCTTCTGATGTAAATCGTAGATTACAATCATCAATGAAACCTTTATCTCCAGTTAATCGTGAATTACGAACAACCCGATCTCGATTGCAAATTCACCGGTTGGGTTCCGAAAACAGATGTAACTCTACTGACAGATCAAGACGAGCAACTCCTTGCGGAGGAAGTATTAAGAGTACTCCTAATATTCCCTCATTAGTTTATGGTGATTGCACTAAAAATATTGGACTAGACCAATTGATCGGTGAGGAGCAATTTAGAGTGAGTTGTATGGAAAATCTTACTTCAACACCGCTATGCCGGCAAAATACAAGCAATTAACGTTTCGCCTCTTATCTTACAGGCTCACCTCCAAGATCGTAGACACGAAACACTTGAAAGCACAGGTTTGCCGATATAAGTGCTAAAGCCATTCCTTCATCATCTGATTTTCCATTATCAATTGTGAATATTTTAATAATATCAATAAAGATGAAGTTCTCATATTCAAATGATATCATGAAAATTTATTTATGAATTTAACAAAGTGAAGAATTTACTTGTTGTTTTTATTAGATAATTTTCGGCTAGAAAATGGCCCTCAATTGTCATAGTCATCATCTTCTACTTGTTGGTTAAGAGCTAAAGCAAATGAATTAATTTGACTGTGTAGTGGTGGATTGGGAGGCTGAGCTCTTGAAGCATTAGAACTCGAGTCATCACAGGAACTACCCTCGTCGTCTTCTTCCGATGTTTCAGAATCATCTTCTTCATTTCTGCTGGATCGATTAATTGATTTAACATTTCTAGATGTCTCGGTGATCTAACAAGAAAAAAAATAATAAATCAGCATTAGATATTCCAAATGATGAAAGATATTTGAATAGATAAGCAAAATGTAACTGACTAATGTTTTCAAGTATATTATCAACACAACTTGTAAATTGGTTTTTATGATTGATAATTCCGTGTTTAAGTTTATCTATAAATAAACTTTCTTGACTTATAATAATAATAAGTTGTTCATCTTTTGCTTATCGTTTCAAAAACAGTAAAATTGGTAGCAAAATTGATACATTACATCATTTTCTTCATCATAATCACCCTCTTCGTCTTCATCCTGAGACTTTGATGAAGTAATATTAACCTTTCTGGGTCTCCCACGACCACGACCAGAAGTTCGAGATAAATAATTGGTACTTCGAGAGGATCTATTTGTTGAAACTTGCCGCGATAAATTAGAGCCTGAGAATGAAATTACTGCAGTAGGAGCAGCTGATGATGGTAATGATGATGAGGATGAAGTTATTGAGCTAGTCGATGAAACTGGATGATGACCTAATGTTGAACCTTGAATAGAATGGTGAGCATAATTATTGTTACATGTAGAGCTATTACCATCACTGTGTTCATCGTCACCAACACTTTGAATGTCCGGTAAAGTGGCAACAAATTCTCTCAAAAATGAAAATTGACTATTTGATGTAATACATGCTTTAAGATGAGATGGAGTTAACGTTCGAGCATTCCGAGATTTAGTGATTTTACTTGATTCAGTTAATAAGGATTCAACAAACAATTCAAGAGCTCGTGAGATAATTAAAGGTACCACAGCTGCAACTCTACCAACTTCTTCATCGGCTTGCATTATTTTCTTTATCCGTGCCGGTGGAAACCGGCAATTGTACTTCTTCTTTTTCGTTGACATTTCTTTTGTGTTAAATGAAGATAGATTATCAATATGTTATCAGTGACTAAATTTTCACAATAAAAACGGGAAATCAGGGGAGAGAGGAGAGAAAACAAAATAAAATGATTAATAAAATCTTGAATGGTTATATCATTGTTGGTGTTGATGTGGTTTATCTTACCTGTAAATTCAGTTGTTTCCAATGGAGATATTATTGATTTAAAAGTAAACAGTGATGGTGACGAAACCGGGGATGGTAAAGGGTTTTTAATTAGTTCACAATCAAGAGAGAGGTAATATAAGGAACATTATTGTTGTCTTTGTTGATATCTTGAATCAGTTTGCATAGCAAGACAAAAAATTATAAACGGTTTACAACTCTATCAAATCTTAATGGACAGATTAATTCGTTGAGGTATGAAAGACAACTTCATGAAAGTAAATATCTCACTTAAGCCAGAGGACATTCAAAATTAATTTTATATACATTTTTAAATTGATTGTCACACATTTTACAATTCAATTAAAAAGATGAAAATTGTAAAAATGTGTAACAGTCAGTGTTGACTCTCTTTATAAATAATAGATGGCATGATGTACACTTTTTTGTTACGGACAACTTCAAGCAGAGACATCTATTGGTTTATTTACTTTTAGTATTAGATGGCGTTAACGACAAAAATTAGTGTTTAATTCCTGATCAACTCTAGCTAGACATCTTTTTAATTAATCAATGTACTGTAATCCTGCCAATAACTAATTTTTCCCGGTCAAGTTTTCCTGTTTACGTCTCTATCTATTAATTTATATAACTGGTGAATTAATATGCTGAATCAAACAATATGAATCTGTGAACTCAAATCAAGTCAACACAAAATACAGACGACTCAACAAAACATGATTACAAAATTTGATCCAGTTTCTACCTTAATAAGACTGAAAATCCGTGAACTTTTTTACCTCTGTACTCACTTGAAGTTGCTAATCATCCGTTAATTATTTCATCCATCTTTCAGCCGTGACGTCCAACTTTCAACAACAGCTTTATAATGGTGTTTTTATAATTTTACTTGTGTTGACATCTGTGGATGAATAACTTGTCAGCATTTTAAGTGATTAGCAGTTGAACAGATAAATAGGGATCCAAAAGTTTTGTTGATATCCAGTAAGTTTTTTAACCTTTCCTGAAAATGCAACTATTAATTTTAATCAGTCTTTTAACCTTCTCTATTTCAACAATATATGCTGCTGTTATAACCAAAGATGACATGGTCGATTTATGCCAAGCCACTGGAAAGATTATGCTCGCTGGGTTAACCGCGAAAACCCTTGACCAAGCATCTAAACATCAGCGAGATTTGCTAGTTAATATTAATGGTGAAAATACAAGTTTGGCTGATTTCGGAGAATCAACTATCGAAGCACTAGTATCTCTTTTCACCGATGGACTGATCAGGATGTACGTAGGAGCACTATCAATTTCCTCAGCCGCAATTCGAGATTTGCAATCACTTCAAGCGAACACCATTTCATCGTTTTGTACCAAACTACCGTTACCAGAATCTATTGATACCGAAAATCCAGTGACAACTTTAACAACATTGATTAATTATGTCAACAGTCTATCACCAGTTTCGCCTTCAGCTGTAAACAATGCAACAAATTCAAACTAAAAACAGACTCTAATTCAGAAATCACCCAAATCTTCTCGAATCATGATCCTTAATAGACTTCAATTGTGTTTATTTTTTGCAATGCTTGATCAGATATCGTTTTAAAACTTGCTTCTTCATGTATCTTTTTCAGTGATGTAAACTTCAAAGTTTTCATTCTCAATAAAATTTTGTTGACATTTTTGGGCATTTATGAAAATAACTGAATTAGAAATTTAGTTTTCAAATTTTAAATAATTTAAGGCCATAATCGAGTATAAACCAAAAGCGGAGAAAGCTAACTTTTTTATTTCAGTATATTTGGTCTATTAACCAGAGTCAATACACACTGTTTACCTTACTTTACTATCTACATGTGACTATAATCGGTCGCTTGATAATAATTACAATTACATTACACTTTTAAATTTTTACCATTTTTGCATCCATGGATGAAAAGTCTGATTTCTCAATCGCTATCAAATGTCCACTTTTTTATTCTCGATGAATGACGTTACGTCCATTAGATTTCATTCATCATAATATAATTTACTATTTCCAATATTTGTTATAAAAAGACAGTAATGAAAATTTTCAGATTCATGATGCAAATTAAAAGCGAAATGTTTACTAAAAAAAATTACATTTAGTTGATTCGTCAAATACATATATTTAGCCCCGAGTTCTTGGATAAAGATGAACTTGGCGTGTATGGCCAGCCTGTCTGTATTGTAAATGATACACATAACATTCGCTATGTAAATATTGTTGAATATTAAACTCTCTGAAATTCGTAGTTGCAGCCGCCCACATTCCTGATACCATTAGTGGTTGAACAATCTGCGTAATTTTTGCATTCAATTCATCATTACAAACGAGATCTTTCAACCTTTTAAAGTAGCTCTCAGTGCTTCTAGATTGACAGAAATATAATCCACAGCCTTCTTCAGGGACATCTCTTTCTTTTACTAGCGTATAACGCATACTTAAATGTTTGGATATATTATGCGCATAAGAAAGTCCATATTGGAGATGAAAGCGCTCACCATCGGGAAAATGCAGGCTTCGGATATCATATTGTCTAGAGTATCGCCTGCGTATACCAGGAGCAAAGCTATGAAAAAAGTTGATAACAGATTAATTAATAGACATTTATGATGAATGATATCAAATAGTGAAATGTAACATTACGCTTTTTGGTTGTCAAAACTGAACCGGAACCGTTGAGGATTGATATCAGGCCAATAGATGTAACTTTGATCAATATAAGCACGAGCTGTGTATCTACTTGGTACTCCTGTTATTGATTCCAACTATAAATGTATAGATAATAATGAGTTATTGTTTAATGATGTAGAGCTTTACTGACCTGTTCAAATAATTGTTGATGTTGGTACTTAGATTCATATCTGGCATCATTCCGATCAATAACTATCTCATGGTATTCATTCAAATGCTTCACTTTGAATTTAACTGAGTAATATGGATGGAAAAGAATGAATTTTTCTGATTTGTAAATATAATAAATGAAACTTACTTTTATCAGAATTGTTATTCTGTTCTCCCATTTCAACAAGTATCTATATTGGCAAACACTGAAAACTGGACTCTAAGCTTAAGAAAAGCCGAAAAAAATTCAAAAAAATTGTAAATACCAATTAATGATAGTTATTCGTACTATTAAAAAATATTAAAAGCTTATTAAAAATACAGATTTTCTTAACACCTGTTTGATTAGGGACCATTGACAAATTTACTGTCATTATCTTGTTAATCTAATTAAATTGTATGTAAATTAAATTTCAAATGCAATAAACAGAAGATTGTCTTTGATTCTATTTTCTGTTTTTATTTCATTCAAATTTCGCGTTTCTTCAGAATTCAATGCCAAGAACATATAGCTCAACACTTAGCTCGTTTTTGGAATGATTATTTTCTTGTTGCCCGTTAATTCAAATGACTAGCAATAAAGAGGAAATAAATTAAGATTAAAATGTTTTTAATAATAACAGACAATATTACTTGAAGCTAGCATTGGTTGATCAGTGAGATACAGCGAGACGTAGATTCAGAGACAAACCAAAAGGTTCAAAATCATATTCATAAATATCATAATCACCACTATCCAAATCACCGTATTCAACCTCGCTTAGATCAATTCCATCAGGATAGTCTATGAATTCACAAACGTCAAATTCATCGTCATAATCTTCGTCTCCTTCATCATCGTCGTCATCATCATCATGGTCATTATCATCGATATCGACTTCATTTTCACCATTTCCTTCTTCATTATCACCTTCACTTGGTTTCACTTGATCATCGGTTTCAGAGTTTCCGTCTTGGAAGTTACTTTCACCATCAATAACAGTTGAAGTCTCATCTTCTTGTTTAACCTGCAATCCATTGTTCAATTCGTCAAATGTTCCGATCAATTTTGTGAAAGCTTTCAAGAGTCGTTTAAATTTGAGGGCATTTTGCTCAGCTTCAAGCTTTTTCAACTTTTCTGTTGAATCAGTGGTTGAACCAAGCTTGGATGAATATTCATTGAAAATATTAGCCTGAGATTTCACTGGATCAACTCCTGAATTGACATTGCTTTGGATTGATTTGCAAATTTGTTTCAACTCACGACCAGTAAAGATGCTCTTGCTTGACTCTATAATACAAACAAAAACAATTGATAAATGGGCTTAATCAAGAAAATAAAGAATAAATTACCTTTAATAACTCCACCAGATATGGTATTGACGCTGACGACAATCAAAAGGATACAATTAATGATCATGTTTAGATGTAATTTGAGTTTGATTCCACGGCAAAAAAAGTTGGAATGAAATAAATTTTCATTCAATTTACAAGAATCATCTGGCTTTTTTGTCCATCGTAGTCGCTATTTATTATTACAGCGACACAACATTACTTCAAATGTGGGCTCAATGTCAACATATTATAATATAAATAATATTTAAATGATCCATTGTAAAGCCTTCGACCAGTTGCTTGGGATTATTCATGAACCACATTTTATATCAAAACAGCTCAAGTCAAAAATTGATATTCATAAGCAGAATCTGCGATTCCAACATGTGTTTCAATCCATATAAAGGTTGAAAAGTTTCTTCTTTTTACCAACACTGAACTGATGGAAATACATCTTACAAAATGCTAAATTATTCAAATGATTAAATGAAAAACTTTATTAGGATTTGGAATTTAGAAAAATGAAAAAATGATTTTATTGATTCATATAAATGTATCCGTTTGTATCCAACAGATGGCAATGACTGTTCATTTAATAATTTTTGCATTGATAAAATTGGCGCTTTTAGTTGATGTAAAATATTAATATGTTGAAGGCGTTTTTAACCATTAATTTAATTAAGTTTCCCTTCATTAGTTAGTTTATTTTCTCATTAAACTTCTGATAATGATACTTTAATTTGGCAATGCATTCATCAGTCATCTATAAATCTTTTAAACTCTGGTAATCCCAACCCTGATTGACCGAGCTGTAAACAAACAGTTTACTTGAGGGTAAGTTGAATCATCACTTTATTGTAGCAATATATTGAAATAATTTAACAGTTTAGTTGACTCTATTACATGTCTGTCCATATCTCTTTATTAATTCTAGAACCCGTTTGAGGTATGACCAGGATTCTTACCTGTTATCTTGCTTTTACCATTTCTCTGTATGGGACTGTTTGCTTTACTGTATGATGGCTTGAAATACAAAAAATTGATCACTGTAAAATTCAAAGTAACGTTCATCAAAATTATCCAGATTTTAAATGGATAAGATAAAGATGATAAAGCGTGATGGTTGATCTAGCAGAGACACTTTCGTGTGGCCCAGATTTACCTCAATTACGATCTATACGTGCAACTGAAGTACAGCAAAAAAAAGCTAAAAGAGTAAATAATCTTGTCTTAAATCGTAGCTTTGTCTTCCCATCCATCTTAAACCTTTTTTTTAATCTTATTGAAAGATGATTTTGTAAATATTTTAATGATAGATTTTCTTACTTTAATTGAATATTTAATTTTAGTGAATTGGAGGCCAACAAATTTTACCATTATTTCAACTAAAGGGAGGAAATTCTGACCAATTTAATTGGAGTGGTGAAAGCAGAAGGCATAAAAAAGATTAGTCCTTTAAAATGAGTTATATACTGGTTCGTTTAATAATCCCGTTTTATTTGTTTATTTATACTTTTGAATGGATTTTACAGTTTGGTATGTTAACTTTAATTCAAGTTGATTTAGCTAACATAACTGTTTCACTTTTATGCAGGGCCAATCCCATGATATTTATAAACATCAACAGCTACTTCAAAGGCTAGCCAAACAATGGGTCTATGCGAAGGCGTTCATCTCCATTCTTGGATCATCTTAAAGTCGAGGAAGAACATCATTGGTCCCTTTCGCATAAAAAAAGTGAAAGTTTTGTGAATCTTACACCATACTGTTCTCAGATGAAAGCTTTCATCTGCCATCATCTCTACTCGTCTCATTTACTTCATTCAACTAACATCTTTCCCTTGTTCTCCCATCATTTAACTTTCCTAAATTTGACTCTTCAACTTGACTTAAAATTTATGTTTATCATTCCTCTCCCTCATCTTGTACTAAATTCATCTCTAACTCATCTCTCTTTCATCCATTTCTCAGCCTTTTCTGTGAAATCCTTCCAAACTCATTTGGCCAACCTCACTGTCAGTCAGTCAATCACCTCTTGCTGTATTTCACAGGATTTTCACCTTCTTAAGATGCTCCTTTTTACTCATATCTTTCTCCAACTATTTCAACTGTTTCTTTTCATCTTTCTCTTTCCTCCTCATCATAGCATCATATATTACTCCACTTGAAACCATTATATGCTTATTCAACGATATCCTCTTCCTTCATCCGGAAACAAATTTTGACTGATTGTCAATCGAGTTGAAGTTACTCTATTGGCTCAATTCACATTGTACCAACTTGTAAACCTTTGGAACTTCTTTTGTATTACAATTCTTTCCCTGATTATTGTAATCCAACAATCTTAGTGTCACATCAAAGTAAAAGATTACCAAGTCAAGATGAATGGGAAAACCAGTTAGATCATTGAACATTCAATTTCTAATCCAACCAATCTGTTAATAATAATCAGATTACCATTACCCTCTGAACCAGTTGGATGGCGGAGAAAGAACTATCTTAAGATTTTCTCCATTCCTCACCATAACTAACACTTCCATCCATGCAATGTTAATTTTAACATTGATTGTTAACATGATAACTGTAAAGCTTTAGACCTTACAATTTGTCATAAATCCTTGCATATTAATCAACCCATTCCGATGATTTGCCAACTTGTTATTTGAGCCTCAGTAATTGTTTTAATCATTTCCTTTACTTATTTGAATATTACAAAATTTACACTCACTTGAAATGGATGAAACATTTGAAACTATCGCCTCACTGACGTGTATAATTTTAAACTTAATTGGCCTTAATTAAGCATGATGATTCGTTGGCCGTTAATTTTATAAAAAATGTGACTTACCAAAAATTAAAACATTCATTCAGCAACCATTAGCGCAAGATATAAGGCAAAAAGGGCCAAAAATCGAATGGATTAATGGAAATTAAATTTCTCAGTTAATCATTTCTCATTAACGAAACTTCAAGTAATAAGCATTCTCTTAATTAAATTTTAAAAGTACAAAACATGCACCAAAATAAGCACCAAAATATTATCACCTTGAGAGGAATCATTTGCATGATTAATATTAGAAGTTATGAATGAAACTGAATTGAAATTGGGTAAAAATTAATATTAGCAATGAGACTCTCCGAGGTTCAAGTCAATCACAATAAAATGATAAAAATCATGAAATTGCATCTAAATATAAATTCAACTGTTTAGTTTAACGATTAACCAAATCAACAATTGACTGAGAAGAAGCACAACAAAATGCAATCAAACTCATATCAATCACTTTATGCTGTTTATGTTATTAAACTGTAAACGATCCGAAAATATCATTACTTTGTTAACAATTGATTTGATGAGTTATTATTATTGTTGTTGATCTTGTTTCATTTTACTTTTTACAGCACTAAAACAATTAGCATAACCAGCTAATTTAACAATCATCACGATAAGGTTAATTAATTTGTTACAGTTAATTTAGATCACATTAAATGGGTAACTGATGTCAAAACAAACAAGCAAACAAAATATTCAATTTTCAATATAATCAGGTTTCATGACTGACCAAACCAAAATTAATTCAAAATTTGCTATCTTGAGCTCAACCCGAGCTTACAAGATGAGACAAAGTGGTCATGATAACGAGTAAACTAAAAGTGATTTAAATATTTCGCGAGTAAATGGCTTCATTATTTGTTAAATTGATGTAATACTTAGGTTAAGATTTTTAGGCTTAGATAGCGTTATATTGCTCTTGCAGTCCACCGCCAGGAACGATTGTTACTTGTTCTGTTCCGCTGTTTGATCCGAAAAATCTGAACTAAGAACATCCTATGAACAGAACACCCAAAATCGAGAACACAACAAAAACAAAACAAAATTCTTTCATTTGATCAGATCAGGAAAAAAGAACGGAGAAAACACAAAAAATCCAAAATTAGTGCCTAAAGTAACCCATAGTCAAGATTGAAGTTAAACCATATTCACCCAAAAAACCGTTGATAAAAATTGTTCACCAAAATTGTTCTCGATTTTAGGTTTTCGTTCCTCTATTTTTTGGGTTAAATTGTAATGTTCTAGCTCTGGTTCTGGTTCCTGGAAATTGTTCTTCTCGTTGTTCTTGTTCCTAAAAAATCATTGAAATAACATGAGGTTCATATGATGACAAATAGCTTTATTGTTTACAATATTTGATCGGATGAAAGGGACCTTCTTAGGTTGACTTTTTATGTCTCTCGGCCTTAAAGATACGGCAAAACAATGCTAATTTAAATGATGAAGAGGAAGAACATTAAAAGAAATTTCGGAAGATAATTTTGTGGTAAATTGACTCATTGTATGTTGATTTCATGGAATGAAAGTGACTAATCAGGTTTTAAGTCTTTCGGCCTTGCAAGACACTTACTTGCCTTTGATGCAAAATATTGTGATGAAGATGATGATTATAATGAAAGTGGATGTGATGGTTAAGAAACGGAAAAGCACTGATTGAAGTAGTTGATTGTGAGACTCATCAATCAATTTTGAAAACATGTTAACCAATTAAAGGTTTCATTTTCAGGTCAATTGCGAGAAATTGAAATTTTCTGTTCAAATTTGACAGCAAGTACAACAACTTTGTATTACTTTGTACATTAGTGGTCAGATAACAATAACAAAATGGTAAAAACAATTGTCCGTGAAAAATTTTTGGGAAACTTCATTTTTGAGAAGCATTTCTTTATTTTTACAATAAGATTGGCTGTTGATGAGCGCTTTAAATAACTCATCACATCACAGTCATCAATTAAATTATTATTTGACTAACTTGAGCTCACATAATATTAACCTCATTTACCTCTTGTTTCATATCAAACCTCATCACAATATATTCACAAATTGTTCACAAAAATATCTTTACTTTTCCGTTTTTCCCAACACTCGATGTAAATAAAAAAATTGTGCCAATCAACTGTTGAGTCATTAACTGGTCGACTGGAATAATCAAAGATTGATTGTAAAGGATGAGCTTACAGTCAGGGAAGTAAAAGATAATTCAGAGTTTACCAAATCTTTTCAACAACAATCTTCATATTGAATGGTCAATTTTACAGGTCAAGATTGTTCACTGATTCAGTGTTTCTACCTTGATATCTTGATGTAATTTAATCATGTAAACTTACCTTGAGAGTTTAATTATCTTCTCATTGAGTTATCCATTGTTATTCCGTCGATTAAGACTGACACTTTGAGAAGACAACATTTTCATAAGGAAAGAAGAGTTAATTAAAATCTAAAAAGGTTACCTAATTATGAATCAAACATCAAAAGCTTTTTGATATTACCTTTTATCTAATTGAATACATTTCTTTTCAGGTCACATCATCGGTACTAATTGGTGAATCAAGTAATTACTGGGAATAATTAAAAACAAAGATGAAACCATTAGCAATGGGAAAATAGTGAAATACAAATTAAAATTGAGATTGACAAAAGTCGATATTGTTTCTTATTCATTGCTATTATAAAATTTGGCCAAAAATTTACTATTGAATTTACTGGTAGATGGTTTTATATGAGCAATCAGGTAGCATTGGGTGAAGCTATTTTCAATAATCTATAAGATCTTGATGATTATCACTCCTTGAGGAGAGCTGAGCTTCAAAGTCACCAAATTAATGCGTTTTTACTTTAATTGCTTTAGCTTTTAGAGATCGTGTGAATGTCTGGCTACACTTGAACTTTTCAAATTCAACCATCGCACTCAAACAATACTGATTAACATCAGATTCGCAGAGTCAGATCAAAATACGGTGTTTCATCCTCTATCTGTTAATCTATTCCGGTCTTGCTTCGGGACGAAATTTCCAGTGAAATTTTCCTTCTCTAACATGGATCGAGAGAAACTATAACTTTGTTGTTGCTAAAAAAGACACAATCAAAAACTCAATCATCAAGTTTACAAAGATGGACGAAAACGCGTAAAGGTTGATTTGCTTCCGATTTAGACTCTGTTGGCTTGTAGGGCCATAAGTACTGAATCCAATTATGCTATTTAAATGTTTCTCAGGTGGATAGTTTTCGAGAAAATCGTGTTTAAAGTTGAAACTTCGATCGCTTTTTGTACGATTACGGAAACAGATTGTTTAATGAATTTTATGACCATAATGTAACTTTTAATGATCGACCATGAAATGTACTTATTTTGTTAAATAAAGTTTTCTGTTTTCTGTAAAACTGATAATTTCGATTTGTAATTAAAGCGACCACATTCTGTACCTGTAAGAGTTAGATAGCTTAAACTTATTATTTGTCCACACAAATTGTTAGGTCACATAATGGATCAAATAATTTTAGCAATTTAATAACAGTTCTCTAGATTTTGGACATTTTCTTTGAAACTTTTAGCCTCGATTATTCGAGAATGGAATCATTTACAATCGTTATTCTTTCACTAATCTAATTGTTAACTAATTACTAACTCAATGCACTTTGCTAAATTTTGATGAGCGCATTTGGGTCTTGGTTTTTGGGTTTTAAATGCACGAGAAACAGCTTATTTAGCAAAATAAACTCATATTAACACATATCTTGGTGAAAGAAACAATTTTCTGGTTAAGTTTGTAAATCATATGCAAAAAGTAATGCCAAAGGCTCGAAAATTTGAGTAGAGAGTCGAGACTAGGTAGGATTGTAGAGTCATAAGAACTGAGTCTATTAATGCTATTAAATAATTCTTCTGATGAATAGGTTTCTAGAAAATCGAGGTCAAAGTTGAGACTTCGATCGACTTTTGTACAGCTTTGGAAGCAAATTGTTTCATGTAACTCATTTCTCTGATACATCTTTTAATGTTCAACCAGTAACTGGTCCTATTTTGTGGAATAAAGTTTTCTGTTTTCCGTAAATATCATAAGTTCGATTTTTGCTCAAACTCAATTTTTTCAGTGATCGAAAGAGTTAGAAATCTGAAACTAATTATTTTTAGATAAAATTTGTTTGCAAACATAATGGATCAAATAATTTTTTAAATCCATCAAAATTACTCGTGATTTTGAACATAAGTCTAAAAACTTTTTACCTCGATATTTCGAGAATGGTAGCACCTACGATCAGCATTCGTTGATCAAACATTAGATTTTATTATGGACCATAACAGTATATGATTGAATTCTGAATAAAATTTCAGCTAATTCATTGAATAATGGTTATTCTTCTATCACATAAGATTTGTGTTTGGTAACCATCAAACTTTATAAACCAAGTCTCAAAGCTGAAAACATAAGTATTGCAATGTTATAACTTTCTTTGTATGATCTTGAACGATTTACTATTTTAATATATTGTAACCCTTGATCCAATCTATTGTTTAGTCTAAAAATGGTGTTTGTAGATGATACCGATACCGAAATATCGAGGTAAAAAGTTTTTAGACTTATGTTCAAAATCACGAGTAATTTTGATGGATTTAAAAAATTATTTGATCCATTATGTTTGCAAACAAATTTTATCTAAAAATAATTAGTTTCAGATTTCTAACTCTTTCGATCACTGAAAAAATTCAGTTTGAGCAAAAATCGAACTTATGATATTTACGGAAAACAGAAAACTTTATTCCACAAAATAGGACCAGTTACTGGTTGAACATTAAAAGATGTATCAGAGAAATGAGTTACATGAAACAATTTGCTTCCAAAGCTGTACAAAAGTCGATCGAAGTCTCAACTTTGACCTCGATTTTCTAGAAACCTATTCATCAGAAGAATTATTTAATAGCATTAATAGACTCAGTTCTTATGACTCTACAATCCTACCTAGTCTCGACTCTCTACTCAAATTTTCGAGCCTTTGGCATTACTTTTTGCATATGATTTACAAACTTAACCAGAAAATTGTTTCTTTCACCAAGATATGTGTTAATATGAGTTTATTTTGCTAAATAAGCTGTTTCTCGTGCATTTAAAACCCAAAAACCAAGACCCAAATGCGCTCATCAAAATTTAGCAAAGTGCATTGAGTTAGTAATTAGTTAACAATTAGATTAGTGAAAGAATAACGATTGTAAATGATTCCATTCTCGAATAATCGAGGCTAAAAGTTTCAAAGAAAATGTCCAAAATCTAGAGAACTGTTATTAAATTGCTAAAATTATTTGATCCATTATGTGACCTAACAATTTGTGTGGACAAATAATAAGTTTAAGCTATCTAACTCTTACAGGTACAGAATGTGGTCGCTTTAATTACAAATCGAAATTATCAGTTTTACAGAAAACAGAAAACTTTATTTAACAAAATAAGTACATTGCATGGTTGATCATTAAAAGTTACATTATGGTCATAAAATTCATTAAACAATCTGTTTCCGTAATTGTACAAAAAGCGATCGAAGTTTCAACTTTAAACACGATTTTCTAGAAAACTGTCCATCGGAGAAACTTTTAAATAGCATCAATGTAATCAGTTCTCATGTCCCTTTAAACCAACATAGTACAAATTGGTAAGAGATAAATCTTCACGCGTTTTCGCCCATTTGTTTCTCAGTGTTTGTGTTATGTGCCTAAATGTGACAATTGTGTTGTTAATTGTTTCTTTTCAGTAACAAACGATAAATATGCATCTTAAGTGACACCATAGACTAATCCGATTCAAGACAATGTAATTGACCCATTTTATGATGAAAACCTTTTATTTCTGGATGAGTCGCCAGGTTGCCATTAATAGACAATAATATCTGTTTGATATTTTCAGCATTTGGTTGCCATGGTCATACCTATTTGTGTTGAACCATATCAAATTTTCATTGCAGCTCATTGAGATCGTTTTAAATTGTGGTTTAATCTCTGAATCATTCTAAATGATTGAATCAAAATATGAATCAACCAGGTTAGTTTCAATGTTTTACATGTTTCAATTTCAATAAGCTAACTTTAATTTATAATTTAACCAAATATGAACCAGATGATTTGTACAGAGAAGCTTTTGATGAGTGGAACCAGATCAATGTGATTCCAATCATTGACTTGTCTGGAGAGGAATCAAGTGTTAACCATGTCAACACTGAAGAAGCAAATCAAAGTGATTTAAGTGAGGGAAACGTCAACTTCGGTACACCATTGATATACGACAATGTTGGCCCGGTTTGCTTGGAAGAAGTTGATCAATATTTTGGTCAACTTGATCTATCCCAATATGAAGACAAGATAGTTCCAGTTAAACATTACTCTTTCCTCCAGCGAATCACTCGGAGAATCACTTTTAAGGAAAAATGTCTCAAAAAAAGCCTAATATCTGAGAGGAATAAAATTTTCTGCCTTGCTTTGGTTCCTTTCGACAACTGTAATCCCTGGCATTATCGTTTTCTAATCACAATTTACCAACAATTAACCAACTGTAATCCAAACGAGCCAATACCCAGAACAGGACCTCATTGGGAAACCATTGGTTTCCAAGGGATTGACCCAGCAACCGACCTAAGAGGCGTCGGTATATTTGCTCTTTACCAGCTTCTCTATCTAACTCTTTTACCTGAATGTTCATTATTGTGCCATGATATCTACTCTTTATCATTGGATGCCATTCAACAGTTTCCCTTTGCAGCAATGAGCACAAACATTACAGCCATTGTCTTGCAGCTTTTACGCTCAGGAAAACTAAACAGATATTTAAACGCTCAATGTAATGCATTGAAAGTGGCCAACAGTCTCTATTGTGATTTATATTACCAGCTAATCAAGATTTGGAGTGAAAAAAGAGCAACAATTAAAGATGCTGGTTTCATATTGAAAGGTAAAGTAACAATTAAGATAAATTATAAATTGATTGTTATTTCTTTTCATTCAAACAGAAGTCAAAATTAAATGCAACAAACATCTGAATAAAGTCATTGGAAGCTCAGCTGGTTATGGAGTTGGGAAAGATGGTCGACTTCAGTTGAAACAAACCGAGTTGATTCAATTTTCAAATCTTGGTAACGTTTTCGATGACAATTGAATTCAGTAAAAGATTCAGGGTTCAGGGCTGAGTAGACTTGAAAGTAAAGAAACAGCTGAACGGGAGGAATTGAAGAGTGAAAATTAAAAGATGATGAGAAAGGTTTAATGTTAATCAAATGGTCAACATGTTAATGGACAAATTGGTTTTGGTCTGTGAGAAACAGATGAGCTGTTTAGATACCAAAAGAGTAAGAAAATGATTGTACTGTAAAAAACAGTTCTAATTATCGTTCATCATCTTTCCTTGTTTCACAGATCATCTCATCATCTTTACCAGTTAACTTGATTAGTGAGAAAAGGTTTAGTGATGACCTTTTCAATCTTTTATTGGATAAGGTCAATAGATGGAGGAAACCAAAATTTTGATGGATAAATAGATTACTATTGAAAGAGATGAAAATAAGCTTAAAAAGGATTGTTCAAGGGATTGATACAAGTTGATATTAAATTGTTAATTTTAATGTTCAAATGTATTATAACTGTTAAGTATTTGATAAAATTTGAAAGATCAATTTTGTTCCGGTAAAATTGAATCAAATTGTTGAGGAGAGAATGGATTTTGAAGGGAAAAAGGATAAAACAAATTCACCTTTTTCTTGCCTTCAAAAAGAAGGCTAAATAATGGATTTCATTGTAATAATAATTTTGGTTTTTGGTTAAAAAAAGGTCACTTTATCTTGAAATATTACCTTTTCTCACCCAAGAAGGTAAATGATGAGTTGAGTGAGGTTTCTGGTTAAATTGATGGATGTATTAGTTAAATACAAAGATTGAAAGGTTGAATCAATTTTGAGATATTTTCAGGGAATGGGTAACAATAAGGTTAAAATCTGGTAAACCTGAAAACCAGACAATGGACAAGTTTAATCAACAGATGAGTAAAATGATTTCCCTGGTTATTTGGGTTTGATATTTTTAACCCAAATTTTCATTTCTACCTTTTTTTGTGCGTTTTATCCAGTGATGTTGATTAAATGTGAAAATAACGCAACAAATGATTATAATTAACCATAAATGATGATGAAGAATGATTTGCCTTATTGCAATTGAAAAAGATGGTCAAAAGTTGTATTACATGAACAACAATTGACCAACTCTAATGAACCTATCATGCGTTTCAAAAGGATAACAGTTTTTTTATATATTTATTTCAATAAAAATATTTCTTCAATTGATTAATGGTATTTCCATCATTACAGTTATTACTGTTGTTATTACATATGATTAACTGTTGTTATTTTTGAGAGGATTTTTTGTTTCACCAGTTTTTTCATCAGGCCTAAGCCTTCTGATTGGGTTCCGTTGGCAAGTTGAAGACCAGAAATCGGGTAACTCTTGTTGACCTTTTTTTAGACGGACAAATTTTTAGATTTCAAACAATGAACCAATTTAGATTTAATTTTTTATCAATTTTTACTTTAAAATTGGCTCTGAGCTTGGACATTCAGTTAACCCAATTATTTGACTATATTTAACAATTAAGGATTGGCAGGGTTTAATCAGATTGATGTATTTAACAGCTGTATAATTGTACTATCAATTTTGTGAATCAGTTGGTATAATTTGAGAGAGGAAATTGAATTAATCAATTGATTTGCTTTTCCTCTTGATTTCTTGGCACAATAGTGAACTGTTGATTTATTAGATGTAACACAATGCTTATTAACTAAACAGTAATAAACAGTAAAATCTTATGGGTTTATTAAGATGAAAAGCAAAAGCTCGGTGAGGATAGGTTAACACTTCAAGTTGAAACCGTTTGTTTTGCCTGTTTCACAAATTTATCAAATTATCTTGATTGTTTCACCTGATAATTATCATTTTACTATCGTTAAAATTAAACATGTGTATTGTTTCGCATTGAAGCATCACTAGAGTCATGAAAGAATCATCAGGCGAAACCAATTCAATGAGTTAACCGAGCAAAGAAACGGTCAATCACTACTCTTTTTTGTTGTTCAACAAACGACAGATAAAACAAATTCAATCCATTTAGTTGTGTTTATCATGGCAATTTTGGTTCAACTGTTCAACCTTAAATGTTTATTGCACTTGGAGTTGATTATTGGTGAAACAGTCACTAAAAGAAAACAATAAAATGAATAAATAAACAAAAACAATTTATCCTCGACTTGATCATTTAATATTCAATTACACTTGAACTTGCTGATTGGATCTACTCTTTATATCGAGTATTTGATATCTGATTCTTTCTAAAGGGTGGATGGGTAAGGGTAAACGAGAACCCGTCAGCTCACTTTTTCATCATTCAGTCTCATTCATGGGAAC